CAGAGCTCTGTAATCAGGGCGTTAAATACTGATAGTACCTTTGATTCAAACATCATCATGTGCAACAATAAAACTATAAACGCTCCAGTTTCTGCGTCCTGTGGATTATAGCGACTGAATTGAATAAAAGACCTTAAACGAGATTATCTGAAGGGTCACAGATTAAACACAGCAAGAGGACGCCTGACTGTTTTCCCACAATGCATTTCAGTCCTCACAGGTGTCCCTTGAGTCAGGGAGTCTAAAGGATCTAAGGGAATGATTAACCAATAAAAGTGCATGTTTCTTTAAATCATTTTCTGAGCTATATTTGTACTTTTTCCCATTAAAAAAGTGAGCTCTCGGTTTATTTTTAGGGTTCGTTCTGCCGCGGTAAACCAGGTGAATCAGCGATGTGAAGAAATGTGTCACCCCGCGTTCAAATATACAAACATGTGCTCCAAATTTGCCAAGATTAGACTCTGAAATGGAGGAATCTGAATCAGAAACTCATTTTCAGTTGATTAAAGATGTTAGACAGAGTTCCGTGGACTGCGTTTATTAGCATTAGATAGCTTTGCAGACAATAGTTAAAAAATGTCTTGGCAGATTAGGACAGTTTTGTAGTGTTTGTGTGGGTTATTGAGGATGCTTTTGACATTTCAGGATAACAAATCTCAGGTTTAACCAGAATTGTCCATATGTGTTCTCTGTGGACTGAGTTTGATGAATGTTGGACATTAAGACCTCTATTAGACTTTAAAAACGGATGCAGAAACTCTTTGGGGTTTTCCTGGACGGCGTATATCTGCATTGTTTCTGAATCTGCAGCGTGTTTCTACTAAAGAAGTGTTTTGTGCACGCTTGCTCCCGTCGGCCTCCGGACTGATGGGCTGTTCACACAGTTTCTTTTCAAAGTCACATTAAAGATGCAAATCAGAAACAGAAAAGTCAGAAGAAGTTCTTGAGACAACGTTAGCTCTTCTCCATTCAGAAAACGGCTCAGAGTCTCAAAGCGATCCGGACATGTTGAGACCCCAGAGTGTTCTGATAGAAATGTAGAGTAGGGTCTGCAGCTCATAGAAGCTGCCGGATGCTAGCCTGCAGATGTTGGAACATTCACACATTAGCATAAGTTGATGTTGGTATGGACTGATTTTGATTCATTTTGGGTTGATTTAAACATCGTTGGGGACTGTCACATTTGTCAAAAATGTATTCAACGTTCTCAATTTCAGAGGACGTCCTCTGGTTGGTTGATCAGAGCTATTCTAATATTGTCGCAATAACTTTTTCTGACTTTTCTATTTGGCTCAAAACGGCCATTTTGATCCGAAAAAAAAACCTGGTTCACTCTCCTGGCGTTAATCTCAACCCTGGTCTTTTCTCCCTGAGTCTCAGAGCACCTCCTCCTGGTTCTGGTCCTCAGAGCACCTCCTCCTGGTTCTCCTGGTTCTCCCTGCTGTTCCCCCTGGTCCTCCTCCTGGTCTGGCGCTGTGGGCGACCCGGCTCAGACCCAGGTTCAGGGAGGGCAAATGTCCAAATCGGCCAAGCCATTTAGAAGCGGTTGTCTTTAAATGCTAATTAACTCAACTTATGTTTCTACTAACTGTGTACATGTCCCAACATACAAACATTTCCCAAATTGGGATCAATAAAGTACTTCTTATCTTATCTGCAGGTTAGTATCCAGCAGTTTCTATGCTGGCTTTAATCTTCATCTTTTCTCCCTGAGTTTCAGAGGACGTCGTCTGGGTTCTGGAGGTTGGCTGAATCCATTTCTGACATTTTCAGGACCAAAAATAGCAGTTTTAACCAGAAAGTGGACATTTCTGTGCTCTCTGTGGGCTGGTTTGATGCATTTTGGGTCATATTAAAAGTATGGCACTCAAAACTGCCCTGAGTTTCAGAGGGCGTCGTCGGGGTTTAGACTAAATCTTTGTCTTCTAATTTTGGGTGGATTTAAACGTTTTCGGGGGACTCAAAACTGCCATAAATGATCCTAAAAATGTAATTGATTCAACATAAAAACTATTACTACAACAAAAAAAAAACACTTCAAAACTGTCAAAAAATGGCCCAAGTCCTTTAGACGCTATTGTCTTCATATGCGTTTGTGCTCTCTGTGGACCGATTTGATGAATTTGGGCAGTTTTCCGGACTCCAAACTGCCGTTTATGATCCTAAAAAGGTCAGAAATGTATTCAACGTTTTCAATTTCAGAGTCCGTCCTCTGTGTCCTCCTGGTCTTCTCTCAGAGTCCGTCCTCTGTGTCCTCCTGGTCTTTCCTCCTGGTCTTTCCTCCTGGTCTCTTCTCAGAGTCCGTCCTCTGTGTCCTCCTGGTCTTTCCTCCTGGTCTCTTCTCAGAGTCCGTCCTCTGTGTCCTCCTGGTCTTTCTCAGAGTCCGTCCTCTGTGTCCTCCTGGTCTTTCCTCCTGGTCTTTCCTCCTGGTCTCTTCTCAGAGTCCGTCCTCTGTGTCCTCCTGGTCTTTGCTCCTGGTCTTTCCTCCTGGTCTTCCCTCCTGGTCTCTTCTCAGAGTCCGTCCTCTGTGGTCTCCTGGCTGGTCTTCCTGCCTCTCCTCTGCCTCGGCCTCAGAGCGGTGAAGCAGGCCGAGGCGCTGAGGGCGACCCGGCTCAGACCCAGGTTCAGGCAGGGCACCTCGGAGGTGACCGGCACCTCGTGGAACAGCAGGCGCTCACGCGTCAGTATCGAACCGCCCGCCGCCTCGCTGCTCTCCAGGTCCTTCACGATGTTCAGGATCTCCTGGCGCTCCGACTGACGCGTCAGGCCCCGGATGTTCAAGATGGCCGACACATGCTTCTTCCTGGAGCAGAGAGACGAAACAGATTCAGTCAGAAACAAAACATTATTTACAAAACAGATCAATATTCTCTTACAGCATTCTGTAGTTTAAAAAGAAAGCACACATTAAAGTACACTGAAACACCTGTACAAGTGGAAAAGCATTAGCATCAACATATAGTTAAAGTACCAAAAGTAGAAGTACTCAGATCTTGTGCTTGAGTAAAAGTAGAAGTACTCAGATCTTGTACTTGAGTAAAAGTAGAAGTACTCAGATCTTGTACTTGAGTAAAAGTAGAAGTACTCAGATCTTGTACTTGAGTAGAAGTCTCAGCTTGTCTTGAGTAAAAGTAGAAGTACTCAGATCTTGTACTTGAGTAAAAGTAGAAGTACTCAGAACTTGTACTTGAGTAAAAGTAGAAGTACTCAGATCTTGTACTTGAGTAAAAGTAGAAGTACTCAGAGTGTAGGAATACTCTGTTACAGTAAAAGTCCTGCATTCAAAATGTTCCTCAAGTGAAAGTAGAAAAGTATTCTCATCAAAATCTAGTGAAAGCAGCGACAGTAAAAGTAGTCATTGTGCAGATTGGTCCATTTCAGAATAATATATATGATATGTTTTCTAAAGATTGATCATGAAAGTGTTCTCAAAGCTGGTAAAGGTGCAGCTAGTCTGAATGACTTTGTATACTGCAGGGTAGCTGGTGGATTTACTCCAGGTGGAACTAAAGTCTGATTTAACACTTGATTAATTTCACATCATTCATCCACATCTGAGAAGTAACTAAAGGGATTAAATACATGTAGTGGAGGAAAAGTACACCATGTACCTCTGAACTGTAGAGGAGTAGAAGTACAAGGTAGCAGAACATGGAAATACTCAAGTAAAGTACAAGTACCTCTAAATTGTACTTAAGTACAGTACTTGAGTATATATACCGTATTGAGCCGAATATAAGACTGTTCTTTTTCCTTGAAACAAATCTGAAAAAGAGTCGTCTTATATTCGGGGTCTAGACTTTTCGATGTAATTACACAGTCACTACAACAGATGGCGCCAAACGAGTGTTCCCCTAGCGAGACACCATCTTAAAGTAACAGTCCACAGGAGAGAGAGAGAAGGAGAGACAGAGACCAACTCCAACACAGTGGATCAAAAGTAGGCGAGTTAATAAACAAGAGGAGAAGTTACGATGCCAATTTTAAGATAATGGTCAACAAAGTCATCAAACAACTGTTGAGCAGCAAAGCAATGTGGAGTTACTGAGAGTAACGTTAGAAAATGTTGAGCCCAAAAAGACCACCGTATAAACGTAAACAGTCAGAGGAAAGGGGCCGCTTCTCGGAGAAAAAGCCATTTTTTTAAGAGATGGGTCGTCTTATATTCGGGTCAATACGGTACTTAGTTTCTTTCCACCTCTGTGTGTTTCCTTCGTACCTGACGTCTGGAAACTCCCGCACCAGGACCCCGACCTCCATCTGGATCGAGGGCACGTCCTCCAGCTGGATGATCTCTGAGAGGTGAGCGATGGCTCCGTCCAACCAGCAGGACGGAGACTCCTGAGAGGAGACAAGTCATTTCATCAATGCTCTGAAACGTGACCCTTCAACAACAGAAGCTCAACAAACCAACTCATCATTTTGAGACGAATAAAAGGGTTTTTTGTTCCACTTTTTCTAGAAATCAAAATCAATGACTGATTTAAAGTTGATTGTTTATTAGTCCCAAAGTCTGCGCAGGACTCTGGATGTTTTTTATTTTAAAGAGTCCTCTCCTGCTGGTGTTCAGGTGTATATCAGTATGTAATGTCTCTACTTTAAAGAGTCCTCTCCTGCTGATGTTCAGGTGTATATCAGTATGTAGTGTCTCTACTTTAAAGAGTCCTCTCCTGCTGATGTTCAGGTGTATATCAGTATGTAGTGTCTGTACTTTAAAGAGTCCTCTCCTGCTGATGTTCAGGTGTATATCAGTATGTAGTGTCTCTACTTTAAAGAGTCCTCTCCTGCTGATGTTCAGGTGTATATCAGTATGTAGTGTCTCTACTTTAAAGAGTCCTCTCCTGCTGATGTTCAGGTATACTTGAGTAAAAGTAGAAGTACTCAGATCCTGTACTTGAGTAAAAGTAGAAGTGCTCAGATCTTGTACGTTGAAGTA